TAACAATAATAATAATAATCTATTAATTAAAAATTTAAAAAAATAACAATAATAATAATAATCTATTAATTTATATGTTACCATAAATAAAACAAATAATTAATTAATATTTTCGGAAATTAAAATTTGATTAGTAAGCATACCAGCAATACCACTGTTGGATGTTTGTGGCAATTTGATAACTCGATGATTCATCATTGGACTTACAACACCAACTGTTGGACTTTGAGATGGAACAATACTTTTGGTTGTTTTGGTTGTGGAAAATGTTGATGAAGCATTTCCTGTTACTGATGTATTTGAAGTTGTTACCGTTGTGGTGATTTCAGGTTGTTGTCCGGAATCCAAACTGGATGAAAATTGTTTTGATTGTAATACTTCATCAGGAATTGGTGAATTTTGAGGAATGGTTGTTGTAGGTGATGTATATTTACTTGATGGTGATGTTAAATGTGTAACTTTTGGTGCTGAGATTCCTTTTACAGCTAAGATTGGCTTTGATTCCTGTAACAAATAGAAAATAAGCAAATTAATCTAAATGATCATTATCATATTGTATTATTGATAAGAGCTTGTGATAAATCATATATGTATGTAACATATTGGAAATGCAATAAGAAATGATTATATACTTAGTGAATACTATTATTTCCCACTCTTATTTTGTATTTTACTGTAATAATATATTATATGCATTTAATTTATATTATTATTTAATACTTAAAGATCGATAATATATCTTTATACATTTGTTTTCCATATCTTTTATGAAGAAATAATACAAGAAAAAAAAAATATTCAACCAATAGAATCTATTTCTAAATTCAATTAAAACTATTGTCACGTCGTTTCACGTAAAGTGACAACGTGATAATATGTATTTTGTTTACGTAAATCGAATATTCAAAGAAATAAGATGAAGTGAAAAAAAAAGTAAAAGAGATGAAATGGATTGAAAAGTAAAAATCGAAGAAAAAAAATTAGCTATAAAAGAAATTACTATCAATAATACATTTAGTTAATTCAATAATAATAATAATTAGTTAGAAATATAATTACAAGGAAGAACTCAAATGTTAATATTCAATTAAACAAAATTAGCTAAAAATATTCGCTCCTCATCGATAAAATGCTTTTTTTTCTCCTCTTTTTCTTATTGTTACTATAAGGCATTTCATATAGTATAAATGTAGGCCAATAGAAATATACTAGGCTTAGGCTCAATATCTTAATATCATT